TCTAATTGTCTGCCTTTGCTCAAATTATCTTTTGTAGCTACATCTATAAGCTATGCTTTATTAGATGACTCTAAGGCAACATGGCACTCAGAGTTTCTGAATTAATCTTGTGGAATACCTGCATGTCATGTAGCCCACACTAAGCACCGTGTGTTTACAACTATTATTTTAAAGTATTGCTGCATCTCTAAAGAAATGTTGGGGGCAATCAAGCAGAGGAGGGCATAGAGAACAAGATGAAAAGGAAGCAGTTGGCATTAGGCTGATCTACGTCCAGGGTTGAAGCGGCAAACTCATTCTATCAGTGCAATGGAGGAAAACCTGAGCCCATGCCCAGAGGAAGTCAATGGATGTTCAGACCCTGCCCAGAATCTCAATGGCTTTTTCAAAATTAAGGTCAAAAGACGGGGACATGGAACAAGAGAACACATAAATGAATATGATAGACATGGAAATGGCAGAATTCCTGGGAAACAGCAAGCTTTTGCATTTTTATTTATAAACTGTAGGTGTGGATTCAGTTTCTTTGGCTCCAAGAGTTTGATTCTGGCATCATGTATGTGACATAAATATGTGCACAGAACTCCTGAAATCCTTCTAATTTTCTGAGTGATAGGGTACAAAGATCATCTTTTGTTCTAATATTTAGTCTTTGACCTTGGTTCGGAACACAGAGCTCCTAAATCCCTTGGAATTTCCTGGGTGATAGGAGCATCTTTTGTTCTAATGAGGCATCTGTTGGTGGGATCCCAAATGGGGGCTGGTCACCAGCAAAAGCAAGCTGCAATTAGAAGCTTGGAATTTTCAGCTCTGGTGCCATCCTCCTGTGAGAGGAGAGGAGCTGAAGATTGAATTAATGATAGTTCATGCCTAGGTGTTGAAGCCTCCAGAAGAATCCCTCAAGTATGGAGTTCAGAGAGCTTTCCAGTTGGTGAACATCCATTTGCCAGGAGGGTGGGACAGAAGCTATCAGAGCAATGGAAGAAAACCCGAGCCCCTGCCTAAAGGAAGTCAATGGATGCTTAGACCCTGCACTGGTAGCTTATGTCCCCACAGACAGAAGAGGGGAGCTTCAGGAGAAGCTCCAACACATCGGCCACCTGGGCCTCCACTGCCAAGTGCAAGGGGCTCCGGCCACACGTGGGCTCTGGTTTGTTGAGGTCAGCTCCAGCTTCTCGGAGCAGCCAGACCATCTGCACTTGGGACTCTTCTGGACTTCACCCCATTAATACCTCTTAACCAGGCTGTTCATCTGTATCCTTTATCATATCCTTCATAAGAAACCAGTAAATGTAAGTGTTTCCCTGAGTTCTGTGAGCCATTGTAGCAAATTATCAAACCTGAGGGGGAGGTCACAGGAACCCCTGATTTGCAGCCAAGTTGGACAGAAGTGTGGGTAACCTGGGGACCCACTACTTGTGATTGGCATCTGAAGTGGGGACAGTCTTGTGGGACTTAGCCCTTAACCAATGGGGTCTACACGAACTCCAGGTAGTTAGTGTCATATCTGAATTGTAGGACATCCAGTTGGTGTCCAGAGAGTTAGAGAATTGTTTGGTGTGAGGAGAAACCCACACACAATATAAAACTGGGTTTGAGCTCTGATTTTGCCACCTGTTAGCTGTGTGACCCAGGACAAATTACTTATGTGCTCCGAGTGTCAGTTTCCTTATCCCCGAATGGAGATAATAATGGGAACTATGCTATGTGTCACCATAGTCATGATTTATGGGATTGACGTGAGGAGTAGGTGACATACAGTGACGAAAACATGACTTAGGGCCTGGCACAGAGTAAATGTTGACTTCGATTATCATTTGAATATTCTATATAG